TGCTTGTCCGCAAGCCGGTGTTATATATATATATATATATATATATATATATACATGAAACGACGAAAGATTACCGTCCAGTCATTCACATACCACTTATTATGAAATATATACTACTGATAGATGAGTTCCAAGTAGATGGAGCACAACCGAGGGNAAGCCAAACAAAAAGAAGCCAAAGTGATCAGAATTCATAGAATGAGTTTTGCCACCTAGGTGAGGCCACCGTGAATGAAAAAATATATGTATGTAAAGGAAAACTCGATCCGCCGCCTTTGGATTCAAAATCTTTATTCGGTCACTTATGCTGCGAGTTTGTTCCACAAATGTAATTTGTTGATTTCGAAGTCATGGGGATCAAGCTGACAATAGATTTGATAATCCCTATGATTCGGAGACATGTACGTTTCACTTTCCATCTTAAAACAAACAAATTTTATCAACCAATGAAGGAAATGCAACGGAAAGCACAAAACACAAAGACCGTGCACTGGATGAAATATGTGGCTTACATAAGATACATGTGACATGTGTGTAGAATTTTTCAAGAAATTATCACATTTTCTTTGCAGTGGAAATTTATTTGACTACAACTATTTGCCTTTGAAGTTGATGACTACTCGTCTTTCTACGTAAAAACAAAAAGTTTCACTTTTAGTACTATCAAATATTTGGTTGTTGAAAGAAATTCATGATCATACTTTATTATTTCGTACTGAAAATTTCATACGGTACCAACCATAAACGCTAATTTTTCGTTTAATTCGTTGCTTTCTTACCTTGAATGTATCCACCGAGCCAGCATTAAAGTACTTTCCATCTGATGCGATTTGCATCATATCCGTAACCCGATTCAACGGGCTACCGTAAATGCGAATAGAAACCGTTCCCTTTGTGCCTGCGCCCGTACAAACTCCGGTGAAAACTGTGATCTCATGGCACACGGCTGAAATGTTCGAAACACAGCTCGCGTGTAAGATGCTGTCCACTGTAAAAATACATTTGCATTACAACGAGGACATGTTTACAACCTGGCACATGCATTCATACCACTTACACTTTTCCAACCTTTCAATTCGCGTTGGTTCAAGGTCCACCTGAGTTTTTCCATCGCCTTCTTTTCGGTCGAGCCACCGCTGCACACGGAACACGTAGCGCAGTCCCAAATGCGGAGCCACAACTGAAACCTCATCCACAAACCAGCCCGGGCTAATGCCACTGTCGTCATGCCACAAGCGTATTTTTATCAGCTGAAATATGTGAAAAGTGTGAGAGCCAAAGCCTCTTCAGATGTAATCCCCATTAGAAGGGATTTCTCTAGGATTCATTTTAACCAATTTTATTAAATAGAACAAAGATATGTGTCCCACAAGGCAATAGATGATTTTGAGTACATTGTATCATTATTCATCCTTAACTATTCGAAACATTCATATATTTTAAGAGAATTAAGAACTGAAAAGACGTACTTCACCCACGTCCCCGGAAGGTATTCGAAACAGTTCCGCCGATCCGGGTTTGAATTTATGCGAATCCCGTTGCGCGTCTCTCAGTTGCAAGGACCCAGTATCACCTTGTTTACCGTAAATGCAGAGAAACACTTTCGCATCCGTTCCAGCATCATGATGATCGCATGTCTTCACAGTGATTTCGTACAGTATGCCTGTATGATACGAAAAATGAAAATACTTGACTGTAATGATCGTGGCAGTAGTAGTAGTAGTAGTAGTAGTAGTAGTAGTAGTAGAAGTAGTAGTAGTAATAGTACGCACGGAACTCGGAATACGAACCACGCAATACGAATCACGGAATGCGAATCAAGGACTAGCATTCACGGACTGGATCACGTAAGCACTGGACCTCAATGGCGCTAGCACGCAATATCTCACGTAACTGAGACTCGAGGAAAAGACCACAGGAATGATAGTTCGTTTATTCGAAGAAATGAGGGCAAATAAATAATATGTACAGAAGAAGATCATTGGTTATCCAGATTTATACCAACCGCATTCCAGTAATGCTTGCATCATTCTGCCTCTGTCTGGACTGCACAGTCTCAGATTGGCTGGCACGATCTGCCTATGATGTGTAGTCAGGACCAGTGACATGTACGCGCGTCATTGACGTCACCTTTGAAATTTGAATGATCGCAGTTGTCCAAAATCTGTAACGTGCCGTTCCAGGGTAGGCGTCATCTCGTAGGCCTGGATCACCACATTAACATTTTTGAATTTCGACATTAGATAACTAAAAGAACATAGCATTGCCATAGATACAACGTTTGTTGATGCCTGCTGTATAAACGAGGTCGTGTCTTTTGGGCACAGTGTAGGGTTCAATTCTTTGACGGATCGAGAAAAACCCACCTCAAAACGAGGATGCACGTTCTCCTATTCATCCACAGTGGACGCGTGAGATCCGATTATATTAATTTATCTGGCCTTATTCAACGGGACCTCCTTCATTCATTTGATTTTTATCGTTCACTAGATAAGCGGAAACCGTAAAAAGGAATGACGTACAATCAATATAACTCATACGTCTGATGTGATGTTCTTTCACGCGGACAAATAACATTCTTGGAGTACAGTCTTCGTAAGGTTTTTCACAAGCGCATACGAACGAGTAAACAACCAATGAGGAGGTTAAGCATGAGTATGTTATCCCTATTCCGTTAATAGATGACCTTTGAACGAGAAGCACATGCATGCGAATTAGCCAAAGCTAAGTCTGTCTGTAATACACGTGTAACCTCGGCGTCATTTACACACAGAATTATGTAATTGAAGCTCTTCACTTACATCGGCAGGCTCTCATAATAACGAAATCGATCGGAACTGGATCGTAGAATGTTTGTGAAAATCCCCCTAAAACCGAACGCAGCAAGACGGGGATAAAATGGAAAAAATGCACGTATACGCACACACAGTGATTCCTTCCACATGTAACGATATTATTCTTTGGCCCCCCCCCCCCACCTTCAACCGAGATTTTATGTTTACATTTGAATTCTTAAAAGCTATCGTTAACCGGAATATATATTAGGTTGTTGCATAAGTTCCCACCGTTAGATGAAACTATTTGTCCTACAAATGTTGTTGTTCTACAATGTTTGGCCAAGTGTTACATACCATTAGAAAGTCCGTGCTATGTCTTATAAGACTAAAATAACCGTTTCCACCTATATTATTTTTGTCTCTTTTAGCACCGTCAAATGAATTGTCAAGTTGACAAAAGATCGCACTTTCGGCACCTAATTTTTGCCTTTAATCGAGGTTAAAAATCAAGTGAAACTACTAGACATTTGTGCCGTGTATGGAGAGGACGCTATAGCTGACAGAGGTGCTCGGGACTGGTTTGCTAAGTTCAACCACGATAATTTCGACCTTAACGACGCTCCTCATTCCCGAAGACCTGTTGAAATGGACGAGGAACAACTCAGGGATCTTTTGAAGGAAGATGGCTCCCAGACATGCAAAGAATTGGGCAAAAAGGTAAATTGTGATTTGGCGACAATTTCACGCCACATTCAGTCGATGGGTTTCACTCGAAAGTTTGAAGCTTTGGTCCCGCACGAACTGACCCAAACGTAGGAGGATATGCGGCTTTCCATTGCTGCTCAAAATATCGCTCAACGCCAAGGAACCCATGGCCTTAGGCAACGTTCCTTTTACATAATCGTCAATGGTCACGAGAAATAGTGTCTCTATGTGAATATGAAGCGAAGTAAAGAGTGGGTAAGTACTGGAGAGAAGCCTAAGCCTCGGATCAAGAAATACCTGCACCGGATGAAGAAAATTATTTGCTTATGATGGGATTGGGACTGTCCAATCAACTGGGAAATGCTTGGACAAAAACATGATAATAGAGAAGAATCCCTGTAAAGCCCAGTTGCATCTAGTCAATGAGGAAATTCAACAAAAACGACCGGATCTGCAAGGCCACGTGAACCTTCTGCATGACAACGCTCGACCACACACCACAAAACTGTCAGGATGGCACTCCATGAGCTCGGTTAAGAGGTCCATCAACATCCTCCCCATTCCGCAGACCTCGCCGCGACGGATTACCATTTCTTACGATGCCTTTCAAATAGAATGAGAAATCTCAGCTTCGAAAATCAGGATAACCTTGAGAATTGGCTCAACAACTACCTCGAGACTCGACTTAAGGATTTCTGACGAAATGTAATCAACAAACTGGTGGAAACATGGGAAGAAGTAGTGAACAGTGATGGAGAGTACATAATTCATTGAAGTGTTATTATTTTTGCTGTTGGAATTTTATGACTTCAGTAGATATATAATTGACTGAGTCATTATTTCGGTTGTCAAAAGTCTTTGATTTCTTTGAAAATAAATGTTTAGAAAACGGCGGGAACTTATGCAACAGCCCGATATTTAAGAGCCTATAAGGGCACATTCCGGGCGTAAACCATCCTAGGTCTGCTCACTTTATTCTTCCATGTTCAGGAATTTAATTTTAACGAAATGCTCTGTCTAGAGAATTACCATGATGTGCTTTAAAAACTTTTTAGGAATTATCACAATTCAGGTACCCTAGAAAATTGGTACCGATACCGAAAAATGCTGATGTTTACCGGCCCACTGTGGTCCTTCATGGTTTCCTGAAACCGCGTCAAAAATGTAGTAGCCATATAGGAGGTACTTCCTCATAAGCGAAATGTGCGATGTAACCTGTAACTTCACTAAATAATTCGACGAGCTTCATCATCAAACAGAATGGAGAATTTCATTAAGTGTGGACAGTAACATTTTTGGTTTTCAGTAGTAAGTACTGCAAGAAAAGTAACTGCAAACTTAGTGGTTTCTCCATATTCGAAGGTATGCTTGAGCAGGACAACTATGGCATTCGATATTAGATCAGATGAACACACTGTATCAAATGACGTTTGGTATGTGATTTCCTTGGTCGAAGGAGAAACTGCTTTTTTGAAACGAAATGATAAATAGTCGAAAATAGAACAAATTCGGGTACCAACGTAATTTGTATTCATATATTCATATTTATATTCACTAGTGAAGATAAAAAATAGGCTTTGCAAAACAGTCACCATCAAATATCAGAGTTGATAGTACTAGTGTAACGTTTGAAGCCGGAAAGCCGGAAGTACAGGAGAGACTCACTTTCAACTTTTTCCGCTTCGATCAGCTCTCGCACAATCAGCCCGTCATCTCTTTTTGAGTCTAACCATCTGAAAATTAGACACAATTGGTTGAGATGATTCAAATTACCTACGACTTTTAATCCCCTACCAAAATATTCAAAAATTACCATTTTCTTCCATCTCACCTGTTCGCCGAGCTTGGCAGTTTGTTTGCAGCCGAGGTGACATCATCAATGCTTTGATGTTGCAGTGTTGTGCATGATCCGTTCGTTTATATAAATGGTCTTCTCCATCAATTGCTTTTGTCCCTTGTTCTCACTGTGTTTGACTCGGTTCGCCGTTAAACAGCTGCGAGGGACTGAGGGTGAGAGGGCGGTTGTCCTTCCATCCTGATTGCGGCTTCGGTCCGTTCTCAGGTCACCGAGTGACCTTTTTTGTTGCATCATTTGATTCTTGAGTTGTATTGGCGTGTAAGCATGATCCAGTTTGATGTACCTGCTCATTGAGTGGGTTGAAGAGTTCCAAGCCTGGAGAAATGCTCTGGCGTGCTTTGACTGGGCTTGGTCGATAATTTTCACTGATTCGAAGTCAAACTGATGTCCTTCTCAATCTTCGTGCAGGGAAATCGATGACAGTGGGTCATGTCTCCTGACTGCCGATTGGTGTTCACGGATTCGTGTTGACAGTTTTCTTCTAGTTTGTTCCATATAGTGTTTTGGGCAGTTCTTGCAATTTATTTTTCGTAGATAACATTCATCTTGTCTTTCTCCATTGTTTTAAGCAGAAATCTCCTTAGACAGGCGGTTGGTTTGTGGGAGACTTGGATTCCATACGATCTGAACAGTCTTGCTGTCATTTCCGAAACGTCCTTGATGTATGACGGGGTTGTTCTTGTTCCCGGTTCCTTGTCTGTTGTTTGTTTCCTTCTTTAATAGAGTTACGGGTGTAGCGATTGCGAGCAAATACTCTGATGAGGTATTTCTCCTCTTTCTTCTTTTTTTATTACACGCTTTCGTGTGATGAATAGCAGACGGAGTGGAACCCCATAATCACGAGGACCTGCTGTTCAGTGATGGAAAGCGGTAACCTAAGCCCCGGGACTTGGAGTGGTAAACCACATAAGGCCCCGATAGGTAGGGCGTGGTATTGAACCGGACGACAGCAGAGCTGCCTACCACCAAAGTCGGGTGGCGGGGCTCGAACCCCGGACCATGGGGTCTAAAGCACGCCGGTGACAGCGACTAAACCACTGCGCCACCACCACCACATCGATGCTGCTTTGGGTTTGGATTCTCCCGAACAAGGTTCTAACACAACATCTTTTGTGACAGTGTGGATGATTACTTTTGAGGTTTAGGAGTTGATCCGTATGCGTTGCTTTACGGTAGACCGTCGTCTGCAACTTTACTGACGGCGTTTTGATGATCCATTTCCCCGAAAATGACAGTTGTTTTCCCCTNCTCCTTTGTGACCTTGCTGCTGTGTTGTTGATGATATTGTGTGACCATTCTTGTTTTGACTTCTTCAAGATGACGAATGTGTGATCAACGTATCGCAGCCAAAGTTTTGATTTGATTCTGGGTAACCCCTTCTCCAGCTTGTGCATTATGGCTTTTCGGCTATGAATCCAGAAATTGGTGATTCCATTGGTGTAGCTTTCAGCTTTTAGTATATTTCACCCTCGAATTTGAAGTAGGTCTGCATGCATATGTAGTTCCATGAGTTTACAAATGGCAGTTGGTTCCTTGGGTTGGCTTGGTGGGTGCTCAGTTATCACCAGTGAGAACAGTGAGAACAAGGGACGAAAACAGTTGGTGCAGAAGACCATTTATATAAATGAACGGGTCAAGCAAAACACTGCCACTTCACAAGCACTGTTGATGTCGCCTCGGCTGGGGATGAAACGTTTGCAAAGAAATTGTCAAACTCAGCGAACAGGCAAAATGGAAGGCAATTCACCCGAGCTACGAGAACCGATTTTCAGTACTTTGTCAACAACTATTTATATGACATCAGTTGCAGCGTGCAAAAACAAAAACTCGTGCCGTAGGTTTGGAAAATTTTCAGGATCTAAAACTGGAATAATTTTAAAACTAGTGTGAATGTTTTGGTTTAAACCTATGGTCATCAGGTATAAACTGGAAATAAGTAGACGGTAGGTGAATACATTGTGCATGGATCTCAGCAATTGCATTCCGTGAAGTGAAGGTGCATTTCTGTGGGGTAAGTGGAAATGGCACGGGGTCAGAAGATCACACAAAACAAAACTAAGCGAACGTATACTTAGAATTAAATAGTAGCGTAATTAGAGAGTGCAGACGAAATAGTTGTGTGGGTACAAGCGCTGCATTCGGAGACGCTAGGAGAAGCAGTTTTACGACGTACTGTCATGGTGATTTCGAAAGTAGTTCCTGAGTAGTTTGCAAATCTTCAAGGTAGCAAACACTGGATAGTTAAGTTATAAACCACTAACATTTGGTGCCATCTTTGAAAACCAGTTTCCATTTAAAACTCAACATTTGGCAATTTTCGAGGCTATCCATCTGAATGATATATTTGACATATTGGAAAATTAGGTTAATCATTTCTGGATCTGCAGTTGAAAACTGGATTGGTCGCATGAGCTTCCATGAATATGTAAGGCTTTTTGTGATTCCCATTAAATGACATTTTATCCAGATATTTGTTCCCATTTATAAGGGCGCGTTTAACCCTATTGATTTTTATATATGCGAGACTGTTAGTTGTGGTAATTAGGAGCCTTTACTTAGACACTATACATAACAGAACTTCTCTAATGGAACGATTACTAAAGCTATTATATAGCGAGAGAGAATCAGAGATACTCACCGACCACAAGTAAAGACAAACTTCTTTTTCGGAGACGGAAGCTGTTCAATGACAACCTTCTCCAGGTACCAACCACATCCGGCCTGACGCGCGTCATGTCCAATGCGTATTCGCTTGATTTGCTTCAAGTCGACCGCCTCCAACAGAAATTCATCAGTCTAAACGTGAGGAAGACAAAAAGGACAGCAGGAGGTGCAGTTTCATGATGTATCTAAAACTACCCAATTCTAACACGAAAATGATGTGTTTTACATTCAGCAAAATCAGCCACATGGAAGAAGTAGCAGATACGGCAATAGCAGTCTTCTTAAGGATGAACAGAAATCAACCGGGTTTCCATAGTAAAGCGCTGCAAATTATCAGAACAATTTGAAGTTAGAATTTTAGTCATCATAGTAAAACAAGCATTTCATTATTTTCAAATTTTAGATCAAAATAAACAAAAGAAACGACTGAAAAACCAAGAGGTATGATACTTTGAATACTGAAATTAAGGCGGTTCAGAGGTGGCAGTGGTCAAATCAATTTTCACCGCAGTATCTTCGACCGCAACCGGCAATTATCCTACTTCAAACTATGCATGATAGTAGATGTTAAGCCACATTTCATTTCATGGGAAGCAAAGATCGATTTTGGTGTTGTACAACAAACTGATGCATAAAAATGGATAGTATTATATTAGTTGACTGTGGTCATTCGAATCACCGAAAGCGACTGGTTGTTATTAGCAAAACTAAATAGAAATCTTCCTGAGAGCAACAAGAAGCATCATGATCACAGGATTTATTGAAATCAACTATTTCGTGGTAATCTCACTAGCTGTGTACATACATTCAGATCACGTTTGGTTAAAAGAGTGACAGGTTTAAGGCAGGCGAACACGCACAGGAAAGAAAAATCAATCAGTATGAATATGGAAACTTTTAAAGGGAACTGGTTGCACAAATATAAATCAAGTTTATTTTTTAAAAAAGCTTGAAAATGCTTGGTCTGCCTGAGGGACTGATAAAACTTGATTTGCACTTTACAATCGGCTAATGAAAACAAACCTACGACGGTATTTATAGGTGGTCAGGATTTACTCGTACCTGACAACGTTGAAACATCTTGCCTCCGGCTAGCGACTCCGTTAACCATCGGTCTCCCGTATCGCTGCATTCACCAAACAAATTGATGAAAACGTTTGCATTTGTCTCCGCTTGATCTTTATCGCCGGTGGTAACTGCCACTTTGTACTGACAAACTAGACAAATATAATAAAGAAATCAACAAAACCGTTGACCAATTGGTTCTGAGAGTCACTGAATAGGAACACTCTCATGTAGCACCTCCTTCAACATATAGAATATCCGAAGGAAAACCTTTCGGAATTTGAAAACCTTTCAATGAACCATGCACGTCTACCAACAATTACCCAAATTAATTGAAATCAGTGCATTCCTAAGAAGCGGAAGAAACTAAATCAACCCTGCAAAGGTGAGTGAACATTTTTGGTATCATTATCACTGCACATATATTGATTGATTCATTTGGGCGTAGAAGTAGAACTAAGATAGCTAGATACATTGCAAGCACGCCACTGAGGCGATGGCCACCTGATAAGACGGGTTCAGTTTATACGTTTTTGATTTCGCACGGTTCATCTTTACGACTTCCTAGTGGCTTGCCGTCCACACCCATCTTATTACAGGTCTTTTATTTTAGTTGTAATTTATTACAACTGACAAAACGGTCTACTGCGCAGGGAACGCGTCTCTGTCAGAATTCAGTTACCATACACATTTGTGGTCCTGACCAGGAGGAAGTCTGAAAGTTTTCGGTTAAGGAAATATCAGGGAAATATTTTGAGGCCTTTATCTCTTGCATTGCTGCGCGCTTTTGTTGTGCACCGGCGCACGGGTTTGATTAGACGAGGTTATGCTCTAAATCATGTATTTGACCGGCACACCATTGAGACAGCTGTCGAAAGATTTTTTCAGAACCAATTGCAAAGGAGTCGATTATCAAAGATTCGGCTACCCAGGATTCAATTTTTGGCTTGCAGAAAGACCATGATTAAAAGATGAAAACGATCAGAAAAAGATAAGTTGATTATTAAGAACACAGTGAAGGCGAACATATGTTTTCGGTGAATTCCTTTTCAAGCCCTTACAATCACAGTTTGAGAGCGTGAATCAGTTTGCGTTGTGCGCACAGCTCAGGCTTCATGAGTCGGATGCTAATCGCCTCTGCGGTCGTTACCGTACGAAAATGTATTGCTCTTGAGGGGTGTGGTGAGACTCGATAGATGATCGATTATTGTCGGACCAGGCAACCGGAACCCGAGAATAACGGTAAAAACAAGGTAATATTGAACATGCAAGTCAGAAGACAAACACTCCCAAGGGAATTCCTTTCGAAGATAGACAAATGAAGTGAATTAAGAAATCTAGTTAGTATTAACCGTGTGTGTGGGTGGGTGATTGTGTACAGTGTGTAATACACGTGACTGATTGCGACCAGAGAACGCCAAGGGTGGGTTTGTTGTGAGCGATTGATGATGCCTCGAGTATCCTTAATCGGTGTTTGTCTCGATGACGTAACGAAACCGAGAACGCGTTCGCAAGGTATACCTTGTGGCCACTTGCAACAAAGATGGCAGAAGTCGGTCTGCATGATGCAGTCGGAGTCTGTGGTGTGGGCTGAGTAAAAAAGTGTATGACATTTACCCCTCGCCTTCTCTGGTTGTAACCAATCCCGTACATCACACACACATACACTGTATACATACTCAACAGTCTAGAAAACAGTTGTTTACCTGTCCAGTTCTCTTTTGAAGTTCCTCACTGGTCTGTCACAACTGGCTACACAAATCATTGTGGGAAATTAACGATAGTAGGCACAGGGAGAGATAACCAGTTAGAAGTAGCCTAATAGTACTCTCCAACTATTCGATCAAGTTCCCTCTTCTTGGGAACGAATTTCGAAACAAAATCATGTGATTAAACGCTGCTTCGACACAAGATTACATTTGGGGAAGGAAGTATTTCAAAAACTATCCACTTTCAGCCAAGGTTTAAAATGCATATAAAGTTTTGAATTCTTAAAAGGATCCCATCAATTTCAAATTGTTTAATAAACTGACCTCATCCCCCGTGTCATATCTATAAATATTAGATTTCACGCCAAGTAATTAGTAGCCGAATCGTGACAAACCGGCGAGATGATGCTAATGGGAAAAGAAACTGTCAAAAGGGCGCATGGATTAGGACCCTGGCCGTAAGACGAAAGGCTTCAATTACCAGGATTGCACGTGCTTTAGAAGCACTGAAGTTGGGGCTCCATGGTTCTCATTTTTTAATTACCGTATAAGCGTATCATCCGTGTTGCATCTGATTTATTTGTCACCTTTTTGGCAGGTTGGTACCAAATAGTTAACGGGATTTCTGCTAAATACTCTTTTCATATCACACTGTACACAATCTGTAACTTTTACCTAAACTGAATTATTGTCACTTTTAGCTCTGAATTCTTTAATGCTTAAATACAAGAAGCACCAAACATTCCATGAATGAAGGCGAATAGTGGGCAAACAGCCAAACCCCTTTTGGAATCACCATTCAATTAGATAAAATTTGGGCTTTTACTTTCGATCATCCAGAATACCGTCATTCATAGGAATGACAAGCACATGAGAGTTCTCTGGTATTTGGTGCTAAAGTGACAACACTAATGCGCTTGCACACCTGGTGATCGTTTTGATTTGGAGATTCTGTATAGTTGCGCAAAGAGATAACACTGGTCATCCGAGGGAGGCTAACTGTTTTCCACTGATTACATGTGACTCAGTTTGTTTAACAAATGGTTACCGATTGATCATCTGCTCTCTCTTTAAAATAAACTAGGCGGCTGCTTTCTGAACCCATTGAACAACCGTTGTTGTTCGATCCCCAAACGTAGCACAATCAGTGCACAAATATTCAATACTAGGTTAGCTCAAATACTGACAGTAAACTATACTTGTTATCGCTGTGGCTTAAGAGGATGAATAGCACAGTTTTCAACTGGACCGAATTAAAAATAAACTCCCAAAAGAAAAGATCCAAAGATATACGTAAATTTTGATGATAAATGTTTGGATTAGCCCATTCGGTTTTTCACAGGCACAATGCACTGCTAATGATATTGGGTATGGATTTCACTCTTTGGGAGACCCTAATTCCCCACTTGTTGAATGCATTTGAAAGCGATGGAAATGATAACCGATAAAGACCACTAGACAACCGCTTCGTCCTGTTTGGAACTCGTCAGCAGTGCGTAATTCTTGTGTCCCTGTACCTTCTGGTAGGGACTTCCAACCCTTACTCCTGAGCTACATGGTCGACGGTTATTACCTTGCGCGAACAAATAAATGTTCTTGAAGTATATGAGCATTTATACCTAAAACCCTTTGACTGGGCATCATCAAAGAATGATGTGATTTTAAGCTGTTCGTCAAGTAAGCAATACAAAGAAACAAAAAGCCAGGCGGCCAAAATTGCAACTTTGCAATTCCCTTTTGTGCAATCGTTAATTGTGCGCATCTGTGCGCTGGTTTTGGTTGTTGTTTTTTGGCCTTCCGTTTTTTCTCCTTAATTATAAGAAAAGAAATAAAATGAAGTGAGAGCGATTGCAAATTATCGATATATACATATATAAATACTTTGGGTTGGATAGGTTTGTAAGAGTATGTATGTATAGGTATGTAAGAGTATGTAGAAGCCTGTTTGAGAACCACTGCTCACCACTTTCAGACGTATCAACCAATATCTCGATCATACCTGAATGCGTGGTTGAGGCAGAAACAGCAAAACGGGGATGATGCAATATGCATTGAACTGAGTCACTTATTTACACTGAACATCAAATTTCAGGGTTTGTTTATATGTAACCAGATATGAGTGAAAGACCAACTTAGAGAGGCAGACGTGTCAACTGGAGGATAATTCTATACATGCATTACTTGCACAATTTCCCATGGTTGTTTTGGTGACCACTGTATTTTGACTACTCATATGGGTAATTAGGTAGAGGGAAGACTGGAATGTGGTAAGCTGTCTGAATATAAAGGTGGGGAATTAAGGTAGGCTAAGGTTGCGACTATATTGAGTAAACTCGTGGATGTTACTGTTCTTGACACGATTATTGTCTGTGCCCATCAGTCACATTGATCCCAAGATATGCAAACAGATGACCCAAAAGCAAACACATTTCGCAGTTTCCCGATCGAGAGTTATTTCGATCACATTTAGCTCTCTTTCAACTACCGCGATAAACAAATTGGGACCAAATTTTAATCATTGCATGCGGTTTTGTTTCCAAAATGAGCCAAAGCGAATCCGTTCAGTTTGTCTGCTCCAAGAAGCAGTTTTAAAACTGCTGGCAATTTATTAGCCTGACAGCAATCTGGAAGTGTTCCTACAATGATCATTTGGCAGGCTTATTACCTGGTTATAAAGATTCACTTACCATTATTTGCTTTGCATGCAGTTTGAACTCAAATGTACTCGAAACAATATGATAATCGGCAGCATCCTTGAATGCATAGGTTTTCCGTTGATCACGTATTGTGATCTGTTATACCAATGAAACATTTTGAAAGGGGAATGGTAAAATGCCATTGACAGTAGCACTGGTTTCACCAAATTGATCATTTCCCCTTTAAGGCGCTTTAAGGTGATAAATGAAGTGCATATAGTGCGTAATGAAGAAGCACTTTAGTTCCATAAAACTATAGACCAATCAAAGTTACAATCAACCTACTTGCTGCTGGTGTCACAATTCCCGGTCCCTGAGCGGGTATCTCACGAACAATGGCGTGGTCCTCGTGTTTTCTACTGAACCATCGACCACAAAGGAAAAGGTATTCTTGTTCAGTATTCCAGTTAATCATCGTAACCTGTAGACGTATATAAGCAATTCAGAGGGCATTATTAGTGGGATTGAAAATCACGACGTTATGTTAGATACATCAATGAAACATACCTCAGTGCTAACCTTGATTAACTATTTTCCCACAGGAAAAGGAAGCTCAGTTTCAGTTTTCACTGTCATTGAATCAAATATGACAGAATTTGTGACTAATTTCATTTGTCATCATATTTTCAGCTTTTGTATTGTTCAATTCTCGGATGTAAGTTGACAGGTGGACATGAACTGAAGTTTTTTTACTCATTCATTTTCTTTTCTTTTGAAGATCAAACTAGCACAAAACTAACACACGTTCGGAATATCATCTGAATCAGTTTCTCCTATGAAAAGAATGTGGGATATTTGCTAGTTTGTTTAGTGCCGTTGAGGTACAGGAAAAGCGAATTCACCGGAGAGTGATCGAACTTTTGACAAAGAAAACGTTTTGTTGTTTGCCACATTTAGTTCTTTGATATGTTTCATAAAATACTGTTTGATTAGCTTCCGGATAAATCTAGCAGAACCTTTCCCCATAAGTTCTGTGACGATCTGAATGGAATTTATTTGAGATCAACCTTTAAGGTGATTCATCTTAGGCCTATTTTAGTCCCCCTTTGAACAGTAGTTCCTAGAATTAACCATAGGAGGATGAACCACATATTCGAATAACAAAATGAGTTAACTGTTGGTTAATAGGGACTCATGGAGAGTTCACTGAAAGAAGATTCTTACTTTATTTATCTGAAGCCACTAGTCATGTGTAACTTCGTCATATTGAATTACGCGATTCTTTCAAATCATCTTTTATAATTTAGTTTATTTTTTTTTACCGCTCCCAACTCAGATTTGTTGTTTGTCATGCAAATCCCATCAACTGTCTATTCTATAGTTTAACAATCTAGAAAAATTTGAGCCATATCAACCAGTGTCTAGAAACAACTTGTTTACTGATTCAGATGTCACCGGTTGGGTAAAATAACCTGATATTTAGGACAGAGTTTCTCAGTCAGGATTCATAATTCTTTTCGGGTTCATTTTGTACAACCAGTAGACACGCACTTTCGTGCACCGGTACTGGTCGCTGTCTTTTGGCTGCCCATTTCGATGAAGCAGTAGGAGAAGGACAGCAAAGTTAAAATAGGTGTCGAAGATAAGACGGATAATTTCAGTGAACTAAAGTATCAAAGAACTTGAGGAGATGCACGCCACTGTTTACGACACAGCCATTTTGCTCAGCAGCTCTAACCATTAACTACAATTATGTAAAGGTCCCCATCCAGAGACCCTATCGGTACCTATATGACCGAGTCTCCTGGTTAGGGTTTTCACACCCTCGTGATAGGTCTTAGTCCAACCATTGTTGACTTGTTCCACCTAGTACCTGCCTCAGCAAACATCGCGTGCAGTGGCAACCTATTTTGTGACGTGTGTAGCACATACTCAGACCGATGTAATTCAGTGACGTAGACCACTTTCTCCAGTGGGCGATCACGAATACAAAAACTAACTAACTAAACTAAAACTAGCTACACCATTGCTTATCCGGGCTGCCCAACCAGATCCGTGCAATAATGCGTATACAGCGACAGTCTGCCTTCATCCCGATTTCTTCGTCGTCAAATTTCTGCACCGTATAGCAGAACTGGCCAAAATACCGCAGCATACACTCAACCCTTCACGAACAGTTCGATGTCGCGGCAGCGCCACAGGTGTCTCAATTTGGTAAATTCCAAACGAGTCTTATGTATGCTAGCGGACGCTTCATTCGTGATGTGTCCGCCGGATGAGGTATAACTGTCCAAATATCAGAATTTCTCCATTTGTTCTATTGCTTCCCCGGTAAGTGTGAGACTGTGTGTATGACAAACCCAGTCCTGCAGTAACATTCTACACTTTAAAGATGAAAAACGCATAGCGAAAAGGGCCACGTTGGCACTCAAACTATCCAGAAAAGCTTTCAACATACCTGGATCTTCACTTAGCAGTATAATGTCGTTTACGTACCCGAGATCAGACAGCTTGCTATCTGGGAGCAAATGCCACTACCCACGCTCGAGGATAGGGATATTTTCATGTTAAATCTATAACAAAGGTAAATAGCAGTGGAGAGAGAGTAACCCTGATGAAGACTACTTACCGTGGTGAACTGGGGTGAAGTACTGCGGTTGACTTGGTTTCGGCTTCAGCTATTGGTGTAAAGGAATCGTAATATTGAAATAATTTTCCTGGGCATGCCCTTCAGAAAGAGGTAGCGCCAGAGTTTATAGCGGTCGATTAAGTTAAAAGCCGCTTTCAGTTCGAGGAACATAGACATGTTGGGTCTAGGAAAAGAGTGTATGTGTCTTCAAATCTCTCGACTACGTCTAAAACCAGCGTGCACCCTTCAGGTGCGACAGTTGATCGACAGAGTATGATGCCAACGAAAAGCTCAGAGGTAATATCGAGGTAGCTCTTCTTCTGGGAAACCTCCATTTCAGATGGAGGACATATATATGTATATAGCAGTTATTGCCCAGTCGAGATCGGGGGTGATAGGTCAGATGTTGATGGGGGCCAGTTGAACTGAGTCGAGGAGTGTTCAGCCCATCGACCAAGAAGGCATTGCTGATTACAATCAGTATGCCATCGGACTTCTGAAATAACTCACGTCTATTTTCCTGGGTCCCGTATTTCTAATTAGACAGAAAAAGGTGCAACTATAACCAGTAGACAGCTTTCTCCAGTTCTCTTCACTTTCCTACCCACCACGTCTCGCAGTTATTGCTCAGACTCTTGATGACCTGGTATTTAAGGGATTGGCGCGCTGCGTCATGTGGTATCTAGAGGAAGAGTTCTGCCGGTGTCCAGTAAGGCAGCCTGCGCCCGAGCCTGCAGCTGTTTTTAGCGGTATTTACGTAGCTTCCTTGATTCCTTTCCAATGATCATTGAGTTCTCGGCTGGTGGTTCAACGATAGGTGATCGAAGAGCTCCACTTCGATGGCCGATTTGCAGAAATAGCCTTTGTTGTATCACGGTATCCGTTGCCGGTGTCTGTATTGCTGTTGTTTGCCATGTGTAATGAAAATTTGGTTCGTAAAAAGTGTGGTCCGTATCCACAATGTATACCATCACTCTAGGTCTCAGTCTGACCGCCTTTGCATTGCAATACACTGTATTATATTATAAGTGATATTGATCTAACTTCCACTTAGTTCAGTAATCACTACAATCGGTGGCAGTCTATTGGGTTAGAAGCGTAACACATGTCTCTGCCGACGTGATTTATGGAGGTTGACCACATGCTCCATTGGTCTAACACAATTGACTAAAACTCTGCATCTAACCGCAAAATTTCTTGTCCGCTTACCCTATCAGCCTCATGCGATGCGTACACAACGGTACTCGAACACTTAGTGGGGAACGTCGGACAGGGGTAGTGAAATTCGAACTTACAACCCCCGGGGTGATTATTTGGTCATCTTTACCAATCACTCACTGCCACTTTTATGCATTCCAGGAACATATTAGCATTTCATAAGAGAATGTGAACCTTACGTGTTTTGGTATCTGGCCTATCTCTCCTTTGAGAGTGGCAGACGGATTTCAGAGAATGTTTTCCTTATGTCCGTCATTTTTCGGGATTTTTAAATCATTTCTGGGTCAAGTTTGTTTATGGCCCATAGTATTGTTTAGTTATCCATAAACAACTTCCAGATCGAAAGTATTTACCCTATCTCAAGGTTCATCTTAATTGAGAATCCCCTCGCACTATGTCACATCGTCTAGGTGAATTTTTTCACACCTGTTTCTATGACAACGAACAAACTCTCCGTTTGCAATACTTCCATCAACCTACCATCAGATGCGTATAATCGTGGGCGTTACGTATCGATAGGTAATTCAAGTTCTATTGTTTTGAATAAGGTGGAATGTTTCCCCGCGATAGAAAAATCTAGTGTTTGAATTTAATCATGAAATATTCTTCACGTTTCCCCTTCTAAACTGAACCACCGCGAGAAAACAAATGCATTTAGGAGCAAATTTGGTGACTATCTAGAATTTAATCTCCTTTTTTTCAAATAGATTGATGGTTTTACATGACAATTCCAGTCGGAAATTGGACGGATCCTTCCTATTCTCACTGAATGCGTCTAAGTACGTAACATCATAACGGAACATTTTCAACACTAGCAATAATTGAAAACACAAAACGGCAACCCTCTATATCGTCTTGATATTCTCCACCCAACATAAATGCGCATACTCGCTCCAGGTGCCAAACCGGATTCGGGCCTGAGTTGTCATGTCCAATACGGAGTTTGTACGGAATGCCAATGTCCTGTAGGTCGGCACGAAACACAGCCTCGGTACCCGGGGTGAACAAAGTTGTGCTCATCTTTGTCCGCTCGGGAACCCACTCCGATTGATCGTCCAAGTGTGCCGTGTCCAATGGGACCGTGTCCGTTTTGAGTTTCTCACCGTACAGAACCAACCGCACCGCGGCTGAAGTTCCCGATCCCTGGATTTTGCTTGTTCTAACACGGATAGTCCATGGTACACCTAGGAAAGGTGTTAAAATGTACGGGCTATCAACACTGAATTTGTGAATGCAATGTACCCCTACGTTTTTATCGTTAGAATAATCGGATTAATAAGTTCATTCATATCAACCAGTTTGATTAGAGACTGACAGACATATGGCTAAACCGAATTTCTGTAAAAAAAATGGACCACAAATATCAAACCATAATAGTTACTCTGTCATTAAAATGTTTCTGTAACACAGAAAAAAGTTTAGTTCGGACAGGTTTTGTTTTATGTGAATGATTGTTTTAATTATATGGTGATCTTCGTTATTGACAGAAAATATAAGACGTGAACCGAAAAACTAGTAAGCATGATACATCTGTCTCGACTTGATTGGGTTTCATCAGCAAAGGGAATCCATCGACCCAAACGAAGATCGAACACGAGACCTTAATGGCCACCGGGAGGCTGATCAGACCGTTTTATATTTAGTCGATACCAGATACTGCACAATCCATCTTGCAAAACTTTCAGTGCTACTTCTTTATTCATTTATTTTGTGAGTGATTGCAAAGTGTCAAAAAAAACTTGTCTTCACCGAGCGAGACTTCTCAGGTGGAAGTTGATACTGTAAACGTTCATACACTCACTTCTCTTTAGGAATTACAGAAGAGCAAGAACAAGCAGCGTAACAGAACGGGTTGAATTCAAAGTTCTCTGGACGTATGCGGCAACTGTGGGGGCAAGTCGTTTCTGAGCTTTTCTGACATACTTTTTACCGCAAGTGTACTGAAAAAGATGAATATACGAGGATATGAGTTGAAGTTCAGCTTGTCCAATTCGGATTCAGCGATCATTTGTCTGCTTTGATGGGGTTTTCTGCAGAATAAATCCTCATCCTTGTAGAAAATAAACCGTTTAATGGAGCTCGTCTATACTGCAACACTCAGAAGCTCGTGAAGTTCAGGGACTGTGCGGTCTATGAAGTTTAGTGCTGAATGGCTCGATGAGACCCACCATCTATTGCTTTTGCCTCATCGAGTATTATATTTATAAACACATTTATGTATATATGAACAAATATATTCAGTATGAATTAAGAAAATCATCACAGAAAATTGCTGTTAGTATGAAGCTATTCGGATCTGTTGAATTTCACGAATTCATACTCTAATACCCTACCGAACAAATCTTCCAGCATGTGGACTCTCCCTAAATTCATATCTATCTCGTTAATCATTCGCTCCAATTATAGATTTTCCGAATTCTCACACTGTGTTTTTGTATACAGGATCCAAGTGCTGAAAGTAGTCTTGTCAACTTGGGACCGGGTAATGCAGATATTTTCCCTTCACCCACCCACCCACTCCCTTCTCCTCCTAATTCGAACCACAGAAATCAAGACTCACGTGTTTCACTGCGAACGCGTTGAGCTTTATCCTCTTGGAGGCGTCTGACAATCTTTCCGTCTTCTTGATCCTTCGACAACCAGTGGTTACACAGAAATGTTTGTCTTATTCCTGTCACTGGACAGTATAGAACCAACTGTTTTGGGAATAAAGAAGATTTGATTTTATGTTGTATTGTATTGTGTACAACTTTTGCAAGGATAAATTCTTCGCCTGGAAGCAAAGCCAGGTATCACATTTTTGAGAAAAATATTTTCTGTTGCTCTGCGTAATAATACAAATCCTACTAACTGAACACTACAGGGAGATGTGAATAAATACGTATCTTAGCTTGGGCATACGTTCGGGATTGTTTAGAGAGATGTATCAACTTTCTTAATGAGATAAATAATTTTCAAAATCGATTCATCTTCATAGGATCAGATTTTACCGGAAAGTTGGCCACACTCATGAATGTTCAAGATAGATTTCGGCCTAGTTTATGAGAGAGCGATACGGTGGATTTACCAAGCATTGCCCAGGGGACAGGATCTGGATTACTAGGAAATTTCAACTCGCAAATGTCCTCAGTCTGAATGACATATCTCACACATGCTTTCCAGATTGGGTTCACTGTCCTCAACTGACGAATTTATACAAATATTCGATGCGATCCCAAATACAGTCAGTGTCATGGGAACTTTGCAGCTGCATTGGTTTTGCTTACTAAGCCTTACATCTAATTTTTGAGTATACGTACTCAGTTTCAGCCCTCATCACCACTGACAGTGCGATGAATTTGGTAGCTGTTTTTTGTTCGCCCCCTTGGACGAATGAGTAAAGGGGAGATGGGGAATGCTCACAGCATTCTCAAGCTGAAAATAGAGAACTCGAGCAGACCTCACTTTCAAGTATAGTGAAGAGATGCATGAGCGTCACGGTTTACGACACAGTCATACTATGCAATGTTTCTAATCACCGGTTGGACCACTCCGAATTTATCTATTTCAAAGCCAAGCGGTTGCTTACACTAAGTTATAAAGTGACCGTTTTTAATCTCCAAAAAGGAACCACCAGGTTGAAATCAATACAATCTTTTTCGAAACTTCAAGAGGTTTCTTCTTGATACAAAACTGATCGGTGGTGTGGTGAACTGGTTCACCATGCTAAACGATTTACCTTCAAATATTTACAAAATAAACTGATCGGTTCATACAATTTTAAACAAGTGATAAACTGTTTCCGGTAAGAATGATAGCAAACTGAAATGATACGTTTAAAGTGGTGGATTTCGTAAATTGCGCAAAATACTCATGCTTCATCGGTTTCTTCTGATTACACGTGCTTTTTGTGCGAAATGACCTGAAATAACCAAAGGCGTTTTAAAACACTTGTTTTAATCTTACTTAACATCCTGAAGACATTTAGGAGCTTTTAAGGTATATACAGGTGATCAAGATGCAACAACCGAAACAGTCTAACGTCTAAACCAATCACTAGTTAATTTTCGGTCAGTTTCCACTGATTCCTTTCATATGCACAATGAAAAATACTAAACTCCATGGATTAATAATGAAATTACAAATGAGAATATAATTCGTAATTGAAGCAACTTTTAAATTATCTGTATGCGTGTACATCTTAGCGCATTCAAGTAATTTACTCGATCCATAAACCAATTTGCATGCTTTCCCGATCCATCATGGCCGACTTCCACACCGGTGAACGGACTGATACAAAACGGCACTGGGAGATCAATCCGGAATTGAGATACTCGACTTCTTTCGTAAATTCCATCTGATAGCCAAATACGCCGTGTCGCGTACGCTTCTTGCTCTTTTTTTCCAGCCCGATCCCCCTTATATTCGACTGATGTCGCGCTTGCAAGACGGTCGCTGTCCGCAAGCGAACGTGCATGTTTTGGTGACTTGGCCAGTTCGGTCGTTGTCGCTCCTTCCGGGCCGAATAGACGGAGGAATACTTGAGCTGACATACTAGATGCCGACTGTGCACCAGTGTACACGTGGATCTCGATGGGTAATTCTGTGAAGCAAACAGTTCATTTCATAAGTTTCACGGCCCTCTAGTAATTACACTCAACAAAGCAATCACATTTCATGCGTTGATTTGATACACCTATAATAATAAATAAATATCCTTTACTTCCCTTTTTATTAAATAAATATAAAAATATACAGTCCACTTTCATGGAGGGGGCTGCGGCCACAAAAGAGCTGCCTGAGGAAATACGGAAGACGGGCGGCGGTAGAGCGGTTCGAACTCGGGACTTCCGGGTCCCAATTTGGTAACCTAGCCACTTTCCAAACAACTGAATATCAGGGTTCGCCGTGTGAAAATAAGTGTGATAAGTAACAATAAAACTACAATATGCGAACGTGAAAGCTGTACCATAATGACTGGATGTTGTTGTTGTTGTTGTTATTGTTGTTGCGCTACAATGCTAGGTTGGTCCAGTCTCACTCTGACAGGGGAAGTAAGTGCACAAGATATTTTATTTGGATAACTATTGCTCACCCAGTGAAATCATCAAATATGAAGTGTTAGCTCGCATACAGAAGACTCGATTGGAAACTGCCAACTTGAGATATCTGTGGCGTCGCCGCGACATCCGGCTGTCTGTGAAGGGTAGAGTGTACACTGGAGCATTTAAGTCAGTTCTTTTAAACTG